GGGCTACACCCCGAACCTTTGACCTGAAGGTCTAACCCACAAGGCAGTGGAGCATCGTGAGGAGATGCAGTCCCATGGTAGCCGGTGACCAAAAATTGGTTCATACGCCATTTGTTCCCGTAAGATACTGGAGCCCATGTGCACCATTGGTTTTGAATCCGGCTAAAGCGCCGAACATTCGCTTTCCGTCCTCTCATTTTCGTAGACAACACCCCCGTCACGAGAAGGCAGTGAGTAGGACTTCCCTGGAAGTGGCTGTATACGTGTGGCCGTGTGAGAGCATTTCGAGAGGGAGAGCGGGCCCACTCCACTCTCGGCCATACCAGGGCATTTGGGGGCAATATGATGATAATCATAGTTACTGACTTAATGACCATCTTATAGTAAAAGTCCATTACTATATTTTAATCGCGATTCCCATATTGTATGAATTATGGCTCAGTAGTGTAGAAACCAAAGTCCTGATCACTGTCGTCAATTATTATTCACTCCATTTATGAGGTATGGCAACCTGGGCCGATGCATACATGTGCCTGGTCCTACGTTGTAGCTGACTGACTGACTGAGACATTTTAATCCATGCAAAAGGGCTCATACTAATCACCAATACTTACCAATCAGATCAATTATTTTAACATACGATAAATCTACTTGTTTCATCCAGGTTTAACATAATATGATCCAGCTTTTATATTTGAAGGAAAATGATCATAAACGTGAATATTCTAAATTTCATCTGAAACTGTTTGCTTTAACACTTGCTTTGATTCCATTCGTATTATGTTGGTTTAGGTGTTAAAGTAGCTATTTTTTGTTTCACACAGTAAGTTTGATTTAAGCCTGTTTTGGAAACGTAATTGCTCTTCGGAATGCTTTACTTTTATTACAATTCAGGTGTGATTATTTATGGTCAAAATCACTTGCAAAATATATGATCATTTATTCAGTTTTCAGATTCCATCTTTTCATTGTGTTATTCAACAGATCGGTTTCACTCAGCAGTTATTTTTGCTTCATGCAGTATTTTTTTTCCTATAATCGTACAACTGTTATGGAAAATTCAAAACATCCGCTGAGGTACCAATGAATCCTTTTTCAAACATCAACTAGTCTGAATCTGACAAATCTGTTTACGGCCGTCCAGTGCTTCCAGGTTTTCAGTGGCGATCTAGCTAAGATCTGTTTTGATTTTAACAATGAAAATACTGCCATCTCCACAAATCCCCTATATTAAATCTACTTACATTTTCTGGGGGGGGGGCTGATGTAAGCTATGGATGAAACACATGTCATTGGTCGTCCTATAACTTATTCTGTTTCAGAGTACACTAAAATTGACATTCAATATTCCTGATAACTCATTTAGAACCGGTTAAGATTTATTGTTTTGAATTAACAATAAAAATTATGTTCTTTTTATTATTAGACTGTGTTATGTATCTATGGGTTTTCATTCATCTGAATGTATATGTTGTAGTAGTTGTATAGACTGGTTTTGTTTATTATCACATCAACTACCAGTTTTCTACCCAGTTCAACTACCCTTAAGTTTCCATCATAAGTACATAGTCGGTTATCGCTTCCTGCTGTATTGTAATTTTAAAATATATAATATCCGTCGATCATTTTACAACCATATTTCGACGGAAATTTTACCTATGATTTTAGGTTTTTTTACCTTCGGGTGTTGCAGTTACTCAGTCTGGCCAAATTATTCAATGTACCACAGGATCTGGACAACAACCGGTCCTCATATTCCAACAACCTCACTCACAAAATACTTCACAAATAACTTCGTTATCATCTGCTGATCAGTCTCTTTCACGACAATCAATAATCAAGTAAGTTTCAGTGCTCTAATCGGATAGGTAAACTAAGTAAGACGAAATAATGCACGTTTGTATTAAGTTAGGTTTATGGTACCAGTTGATTTGCAGGATTTTGGTTTCCCATGCTGAAGGGTACATGTCTCCGACTAACCACAACTCTTTAGGCATTATTCGTGTTTTATGGAACTTGTGGTGATTTAAAGAATTAGGAGTTTCTAATATAACTTTGGAGCTATTTATAACAACAGATCTGAATTAATCTTCGCCCTTAAAATTCAGTAGTAAACATTGCGCCTTAACTTGCTAAGAAAAAGAGCTGTAGTGGTGTGGCAGTACTGAGATTGTATCCAAACAACATGTAGTTACACACAAACTTGGGGTAGTCGGCAAATTGGAGAGGTGGTTTAGTGGTTAAACCACTTTGCTTTCAACCTGTAAATCACAAGTCAGAACCCCTAATTATCTACTTCAGTTCGTATTCCTGGATAGTATAACTTGGCCTCAGGAAAAATGTGCCTCAAAGTCAAGTACATAAACTTGTTCTTAATGAGTTAAATTTAATTACAAATCAATCTCTCATACACAAAATATGTACATATTTTGTGTATGAATCTAGTTTTAGTCATTTTAGTACATGCAACGGTAGCTAGTATCGTAAGAATAATCTCCAAATAATTTTATCTAACATAATATTCAGTACTGACTTCCTTCATAATTTCATATTACTCATCACAAATCGGAAATAGGTAAAATACTATTGAAACCCTGTGCTCTGCTGAGAAATTCACAAATGTAAATGTAATATCTATTCAATTCTCTTTAGTATTCAAAGGTTGTCTGACTGTTTCCTTTTCGTAAAAGAAACAACTTTTTAATAAGATTCACTTTTATGACAAACACTTTATTGACTAGTACTGGAATTCTATTTGGATTGTATACTGACAACCATCAAACTTAATATTCTTTATTTTGAATTGAATAAATAAAAGATTTCCAAATGTCGAAGTTCTAAATAGGCTTCTTATTGTAATAAAATACATTACAAACTTCAAATAATTTTAAATTTTTAGTTGAACAGAGATCTTGATAGGATCGCGATTTGGTTGAACATTGAATTTTTTTAATTACTGTCATCGATGTTGGTTTGTATCGATGACTGATATCCATAGAGGTCACATTAACGTACTATTGTCTTCTGTTATCCTTTCTGAATAACATTTTTCTTATTGTGAGAGTCCTAAAATTCCTAATTTCGATCTTCTATAGAGAGTTGTGGATATTTCCTCCCAACAAATCTTACCCAATTTAGGACGAAACAATTATTCGATTTTTTTTAGTTTTCAATATATTTCCAGCTTTTGGCAATCACATCAAGCCATAAGGATGAATTCTATTGTCAGATTAAATTAGTGAACTTTAATTTTTAAAAAAATGCTGGTCACTACTTAGCTATAATTGATTATGATAATCACTATTGGTGCTGTTTTTAGTAACCCTAACCAGCTCTTCGTATTTTATGGTTGTCTTTTTTATTTCACTTATATGATTCAATTTATTTCAGTTCTCAAACGATGGGATCATCTACATCCATTAAACCAAGTTGTCAACAGGACGGCGTCTACGGTATGTGTTTTTTTATATGTATGAATTGATTACTCAGTTCTAATTTATACTTGTGATTTTTTTTCTTTTGTCTCTTTGTATGTATAGTTATTTTAATGCATTAATTGTAATATTTATAGAGTTGGAAGAGTAGTTTGTCGTCACCACACAAACTGACTATTATTATCATTACTACGATCATTATTACTATTAGTAGTCGTGGTATAGTCATCATCATCAAACCTACTGAATTTTTCATCTCCAAGATTCATAGTCAGCTACCTCATTAAAATGTTGAGAAAGAGTTTTGTGAAAGCGGTGATCTATTTGTGTGCATGGCCTATGATCATAACATATGCACACTTTGTATATTATAATGTATTCCCACCTCAATATAAGATATTTTATGCGAATTTCTAAAAAAACAAGAATTGGATCTATTTTTTTGGTATTTATTATTTAAAAATTCTCATGTCTTGTACTCACTTAATACGAAAATATCATTTTACACGATAAAATTAGTAATAAGAGATTATCTAATCAAAGGTCTCTCCAAGTGTAAATAAACCTTTGTACTGTGTCGTAAAAAGTTGACTACCTCTTTATAAACTATATCTGTTAATAAATTTTCAGAAGTCTTTTTAGTGCAAATATGAATTCAGGTTAAAGTAAACACAGAGAAGTGTCTAATTATTGTTTTAATATTTCTTAAAACATTTTTTATCACTGAGTAGTTGAACCTTTTATTTCATCACAGTCTTGTCACTGTTCTCTGATATAACTGACTTAGCAGGTACACAGGTTTATGTGGTTTGTTTCAACTTCACGCCTTTTGTCAGAACCAATAACTTTATCCGGTTTCCCAAACAAAATTGGGTGGAGTAGAGTTTAAACCTGTTATCTGTTGTTTGAAAATTTCATGGTTTAACCATGAAACCACTATATGTTTCATCTAGACATTGTTTTACATCGTTTAAACTAGATAGTGAAATAATCTCATATAATTTCCTCTAGTCATTCGAAAGTAATCCCTTAGTGCTTTTAACTGGATCATGAATATTATAGATTTTTGTGCTTTTTATGTAATAAGAGAAGCTTCTGGGTATAAAACTAAAGAACTGAAACGTTCTATTTCTCAAATGTATATATAAGCATTGTACAGTTTAATTGTCCGTTGTACAAAATCAGTTCATTTATTCTTCCTTATTTCTGTAAACTCATACAGCAGTTATTATTCATTCACTTTTATTTGACTCTATTATTATTGTATATTCATGATGTTAATTATTTTTAAATATCTGGTCAATAGAATCTTACTTTGTTTCTAAGACAAAAAAAACGATTATAAATCAAAACCAGAACCTGAATTTCTACCGATAAACTACTAGTCTTTTTTCTTTAAAACAAATCAAAATTTAACTCATATGATGAAAATGAATATAATTTATTTTAATGAATACAGTCGCTATTCTGAGTAACAATGTAAAATTATTTATTTCACAAAAAAGAAGTATTTCCGTTAATCATTCACATTTCCTACCCAAATTATCTTTTATATTGAACAGAACGTCTATCTGGACGACGTATTCGTGGTAGGTGCTCTTAGTGCAGTTAGTTAACCGATTTAAAACCAAATTTACCATTCAAATGAGTTTACTGTTGACCTTTATTTATTTCTTTGTGAATAACAAAATCGTGTGAAAGAGCTTTTTTATTGAAGTAAAATTAAAAATTCTAATGCCAACTATTAATAAAATTGTAATGATGATCATGCTAACATTTCGACCAGTGCACCACATATTATTGTTTTTTTTTAATCCAAGATCTACGTTGCCTATCTGTATTTGATTTAGACAAGTTTTTGTGTATATCTATCTGTTTGTCTGTGTATGTGCATTTGATTCCAAAATGAATGATTGACAGCAGATTTAAAGTGGATTAATAAGTTGTGTTAAGTGCCATAATTTCGATTTGTTTACTACTTTGAACTGGTGCTATTTATTTTTTATTAAGTGTTGTTGGTGTTTATTTTTTGGCGATGCTTACACTATTCTTACTGCTGTTGCTAATGCAAGAATAACGTGTTAACGCGAAGCATATATATATATATATATATACATAATGGTGAAGTTTTTTTAACTGTTGATTATTTATCTTTTTTCCAATTTTGCTGCTTGTTTTCTGGTAAAAAAACGATGTTTGTCATTGTGATCATGAATTGATTGGTGTTAGACTATCATTAAAAACCTGGAAGCACTGTATGACCGGTTCGTCCCAGTATGGGACGCCTCAGGAATGCACATTCACGATCCCACACGCGGGACTCGGACTCAGGACCTTCGGTTTCGCGCGCAAACGATTACACTTTAATCTACGGAGTCGGTATTCAACAGTGTTAATGTATAACTTCAATCAATTCACAATATTCGACGACCATCTTCCATTGTTTTTTTGTAAGTAACTATCTCATGCTCGCCACGGTTGAACTCTACTGGTCACGGCTTCTCACTGGAACTGCTAAACTTATCTTTCGAAACTAGCCACTGGTGTACACTTGATAATTATCAGTATAGGTTTGTAGGGATTGTTAAGCTTTCTTATATTTTTATTGAGATCATATTATTATTGTCCCGAAAATAATAACTATGGCGCTCATACACTCGAACCAAAGAATATTATGCATTTAATCTGCTCTAGATAATTTACCAATATACGTATACGATGGGCACTTCTAACTGTAAATGTGTTTGTCTTTTATTAAAGTTAAAACGGCTCACAAATAAATGGTTATTTGTCTGTTTGTCAATTAGGTTGTTTTACACAAAACTACTCATTCGGTAATAAAAAAATGCCTGTATTTTAACTGTATGCAAAATTTGTAACTTTATTTCCAATTTTTTTAGATAAAGACACAGACATGATCTAGGATCTGATAAAATTATATATGTTGACTATAGCTGCTATAATTTGTATCATCCTGCTGGACAGTGAAAAGAAATTGACAAAATGAAATTGAAAGGGATGATACTAATGTTCCCTAACTACAGTAGAAAAACTAGATGTGAAATGAGAAACGGTCTGTGACAGTGAATAAAATGCACTTAATGATTCCATATTTTTGATATGAAGAAAAATGACAAATGCGTCTGTACTACCGACGATGGCTATTCTGTGAACCTCAGTATGGAAACTTTCATATATTATGCTGGTCAAAGCAATAGTTGGTAACATTGGAAATCTTATCTGTTTTGGTCTAAAATTTTCACCAACTTACTTTTCTCCTAGCCAGCTGAGATTGCTTGATTAGACGTTTGTAAGAGTTTATACCGACCCCATCAGTTGATTTGCCATCTTGATCTAGTTTTATCCGACTGGAATCAGGACTGCTCACCTGGTGACTTCAAAATATTCGAACAATTCCTTGAAAACATCTATGATTTAATACCTGCAATATACTTATGTCTACTTTAAAATGAACTCATTTTGTTGGTGAGATACTTTATCACTGATAAAAATAAACGAAACATCATAATTTCAATTGACTCATGAACTCAACAATTGAAATTACTAAATTCTCCACAAAACGCCCTTCTAAAACATCATAAATGTAATCTCCGTTTTGTTGACGCTTTAAAAAAAGTACACACAAAAACCCGCTTACGTATTCGTATGGATTAAAACAGTTTTTACATAAAGCCCTGTCAATTAATGTTCCATTTCCCAGCCCAGTTTATCATTCACATTATCCTAGCTAGTTACATTTTCTCTTTCACATTTACAGTCATGATCAATAATCAAACAACTTTGAATTTTTAATTTTCTTTATGAAACCAATCACTAGCTCCTTTTAAATAGGACTTGGATTTTTATCACATCACAGCAAGATTTAGGAGAAATAAAATAGATCCATTTAGTTGATTAATTATTCTGTTATGAAATAATATACCTGTGTTTACTGCGTAATCAACACTCGTTATTCAAATGTATCTACAAACTCTACAAAACTTATTTCTCTCTATAATCCCAGTATTTCCAATTCGGAACCACAATTCCTGTAGTTTATATTATGACTCAACTTCACTCAGACAACCAATAGTTCTCAACATATTTCCCATATTAGCACATAAATGACGAGGTATACTAGAAGTCACTTGTATTCAAGAAACAAATTAAACTGTAGAGACTCATTGTTACAAATGATATCCCAGATTACTGTTACTGAGATCGTAGTTACTTTATACAACCCACATTCATCAACAGTCATTTGAAAGTTTTCATATTGAAAATGTTGTTCAGAAATCACACTATCGCGTTCATGTAGGAAATATTGTAATATTTTGTCCTGATTATACATTTAGATCCTCCAGTCTTCTGAACTAGCCATTCTGTTTTGGGGCTGCTTTGTGTAAATACTTATGATTTGCTACTGGTAGCCATAATACACAATCAAAGTGAAAGTTTCATTAAATTTAAAGTAATTTTTAAAGTTATAAATTAACCAATAGTGTAACTCGTTTCCCATGTGCTAATTGATGTACTCGGTTTTGTAGGATATTCTTTATGTAATAAGAGCTAATGATACTGCCCATTTGCACTAAAACACAGAATGAGGTGAGAGGCAGATCTAACGGATGAGAAATCCTAACCCTCTAACTGCTAACTCATCAGTCTTAATCTGCGCGAATTATATCACTAAAAGTCCTTCATAAATCAAGTTTATAAACTTATCAACCATGTATTATGCTTGATTGTTAATATATCGTCGCCATCTGTGCTTTGAAAGCATAACTTTGTAGTGAACAATTAAGGTACTTGCATTTATGGTCTATTTTACTCTGAAAAGTAAATTATTCTCGTGTCATTTCTTACCATTTTTGTTACCGATGACTGTTAACTTGATAATATCACGGCCTGTTGTACCTAATATTTCATGGTTGGACAAAGTTCGTTAAATCTTCACTGCAATATCGAAGCTTATCTTATGCTCAGTATCATCTGATTTTAAATTTAACTGCAGTGGCATACTATAATTTTATTTCAATATGTATATTGACGAATAAGGATAGCAAATATCTGAGAAATGATACCAATAATTATCTCAATTACAACAATCTCACATTCCCGCGATATTCCCAATAATTAATTACTTCCCAGAGTAGAGTATCAGCTTGACGATAACCACATTATTTTTCTGCGAACACTATCAATGTCTCTGTCTATTTTATTGTTTCTTCTGCAGTGGCCACATCTAGCCCAAACGCTGTTCTTATTCGAACGTCTAGTTCTGGTTGCCTCACAGTTATTAATCCATCAGGTACAACTAGTGAATTATCTCATATTAATTCTGGACAACATTCACTACACGGTGCTAATGACAATTCATCATTATCTATTTCTTCAACAACCGTGTCTAAACCTGTTCTCACAGTAATACCAAATCCCACGGGAACACAAACAAAATTATCCGTCCAAGTTTAGCTCAATCACCTAAAGTTGGTCTTATTCCTAATAGTCAACTTCAAACAAGATCCAATGTACCAGTCACTCAACAGTATCAACCAAGACCAACTATACAATCAAATCCTACACCTGTAATTTCAAAAGTCCAAAGTTTCGCACAAGGTAGTTACTTAAATGTTAACTTTTTCATTAGACTGCTAATTTACTGGAGCGTGAACTTCACTGATTCTTGCGTGATTGATAATTCTTTTTTTTGGGGGGGGGTATAAGCCAAAATCATTCATCAGATTAATGGTAAGCACAACCTTTTCGAAAGTTAATATCGTTTTTTAGACAGAGGTCCGATGCTATTTTAAGAAATTATGATAATTAAACTACTTTTTGTACTCCCTAGTTATAATGAGTATAATCTCACTCCCGTTTAACTATTGTTATCATCTTTTCATTAAGTAATTTTACCGTACAAATATCTGTTATTTGTCGCAAATATAATTATAAAATAAATTGTAAATTATTAGTCAAGCAAATCATATTTTTAAAAATAGTTTTCCAAATAAGAATTCTATTCAACAGTTCGGTTGACATAGAATCAAACGGATTGGTTATTTAACTATTTCTGATATTACCATCATATAGAGAAATTTTTTGATACAACAGGTTTACCAAGAAGCGTTCCATTTAAAAAAAATGGAAAACCGAAATTCATGCAATACATAAGTTTGGAACAATACAGTTTATTCGAGAACACAACCAATAAGGATTTTTTCAATTATTAGAGCAATCTTACTGTTCAAAAACAACACAGGTGGTAACTGAGTCACCGCTGACTTGTTTCCCGAGCAAGTTCTGTTAAACCACCTAATGTGGAGTCGTAACGGATTAATGTATGCTACTAAACTAGAGTGGTTGAGACATGTAATACATATATACCCAACCACCACCTACCTCGACAGGTGATGCTGTCTGGTATGAGAATACCTTGGAGGGAGAGTAGGAGCATCCAAATCAAGACATGTGATCAGTCCCTGAAGTCATTAAGAATTAGACTGAGCCGTGCTATTAGATACAAATCATCTAGTTGCGGTCCATGTGATTTTCGTAACCAGTGGCCTGAGACTTCAAGTGATAACTCAAGATCATTCACAATGACGCAGGTGCATTCAGTCCTTGTCCTTTAGAATTTGAGTCCTGAAGTCCTTCCTGTACCTTTTCTTTATTTTTCCATTCCTAATCTTTCCTACTGACATTGTTACTACTTTTACCTGTAATCTGTCTTGAAATAATTTTATCTCTCTTTGCTAATGTGGTAAGGCAATTCGAACATATGTGCTGGATTCTAAGTTATGTATTATTGACTAACAAGTCTAAAAGCGTTCTTCAATCTACAGATGTGTTTTATTTGCTGACTACTTTTGCTTTTTCCACCCAACTGTCCAGTTGTCGCCATATAATAAGCAGTATAATGCCCTCTGTAATGGCGTCAATAAAACTTGTCTATATCACAGAAGTACATCCTTTAAAATGATAACACGAATACAACTCGATTGTACACAAAAATACATTCGTGAACACAATGTTGGAACACAGCTTTTATATATTTTAGTTTAGGTGTATTGTTTCGTAGCCTTATGAAAATCATTCAAGTAAGCGATTACTGTTAAAAAATAATCTAACTTACAATGATTACTTACTTCTACTGTTTTCCTTTAATTCAAATTACAGGTGAAGTACTACAAATATCTGATAAAGACAATAAAGTACCTGAAACGTCTACTACTTCTAACACTACCACTACGACTACGACTACCTCTACTACTAGCAATAAAAAAGGTGGTGAAGTGAAATCTTCTGAAGTTCAAGCTCAAATTGTCAGCGGTTTAACTGATATAGCGAATCGTTACTTATCAACTGTAAAACATGCAATTCAATTGGCATCTAAAAGACCGGAAGCTGCTGGTTGTGTTTCGAAAATATATTAAATTAAAAGATATTTTAGAACATCCAGAGGCAAATTTAAATGTACTATCATTTGCACAACTTCCATTAATTGAAAAATTATTACATGAGATAGAACGAAATCCAATGCATTTAGTTGAAGAGCATCTTCAACGTCAAGCTAAAGCAAACGCTGCAATTTCTTCTCATGGTACATCATCGTCATCATCATCATCTACAAACACTAGTAAAATCAGTACAATAGGTCATATGCAATCACAAAAACAAGATAGTCAACAACAACAGTCTCAGCAGTCACAACAAATTTCACGTCATCATTTGAATCAACAATCGTCCCAGTCACATTCTGTTCCAGCTTCGAATCAACAAAAACATTCAACTGTTATTAGTCAACAGTCATTAAATCATTTTCAAGGTATAAATGTTGTTTCTATATTATTAATTTTTTTATCTGTTTATTTTAGCGTCATATCAGTATTATGTTATTACAAGTAGAAATAATTCTAGAATTATGAATTTTTTGAAATAAATAAATGTGTTTTCACTATCATTGACTATATGAACTTTTCCACAGTATTCATTAAACACTAATGGACCGAACATTGATATGGCTATTACTTGACCAATCAATTATAGATAACTTAGTCCTTCATGAGGTCAGTCACGACTCAATTAACTCAATAATGTCATTTTAGACTGTAACGTGGGTTCGAAGTGCATAAAGAGTACCAAATCCCTTAAGATTACAGATACACCTTACTGATGTGCTAACGTGAAACCTAGGTTTAGTGTTTCCTCTCAATGAGTATAGATGAAAAAATAAATAAACTGATTGTTAGGTTTTTGTACTCAGTGTGCTATTTTTTTTACTATTTTCCTTTTTATCACGATCATTTATTTTATTAGTTTCCATTTGAAAATGTATCATTCAGAATTTTGTGCAGTGTGAATTTACATGAATCAACTCTGATGAATGTTGAATGGGACTTAATTCAAACACTTCACTTCTATCTGAAGTTTGTGCTGATGATGTCGTTCAGAAGAACGATGAAAGCTCCACGATCAAACCATCCAGCTCAGAGAACAAAACTCCACCAAAAACTTGATAGCATAGTTTTAATGACATTGATATTATACAAGAATATGTGTTAAATTCATTAGTTGTGAGGCATAAAAAAATTCATCGAATGATTACCTTGCTTTTCGGATACTGAATAACAGGTAAATTATCCTACTATAAGCAAATGGATATTTACTTTGATTAAAATGTAGAATAAAAGATATGGCATTTGGAACGCCATTTAATTGTTATTCAATTATGGTTGTTTTGACTGAATTTCACAAAGTTTTGCATAAATTTACAGAGTGATATTGAAGTTGTGGGAGTTTTATTTTCCAGTTTTTGTATTTTTTAATGACGATATCCATCATGAACTAATATTAACTTAAGAACCACTGAAATTCAGGGTGTATCAGGGAACTGTTTTATTCTAATAAGTACCTAATCACCAGCGTACCGTTACGATATCAGTTAGGTTATTTAGACATAAGTACAGAAATAAAATTAGCTTATGGGAACTGAAGAAACTTAAAACAAATATTCATCGATTTAACATTTCAAAATGCTTATGGTTATTGTTAACCATATATCCTTGAAATTTCACGTTACTGGTATCGTACCTTGTGTATGTGTAACGACACAACTCTTTAGTGTGGATTTTTTCCACAACGTTCCTTATTTCAGTTCTTGATTGATATATAATCCTATTACATTCCCATACTTTTTTTGTTTTTGATTATTTTTAGTCCCGACTACTAATTTAAACACACTTCTATCTCAACCTTTCGATGCTCCAAGTCCAACCGGTGTAGTAGACATTCAGCAACAAGGTATTCAGCCTCGACCACCTACTCATTTCTCACCAGCTGGTATAAATCCCACTATCTCAAGTACTCAAAGTTCTGATATATCAACCAAAACATCAACAGCTGTATCAGGATCAGTTGTGGAACATGGTCGACTGACACATCCTAATCGTGTTACTACATCAGCTTCTCTGCTTGGATCATCTACTCAAAATAATACTGAACCAACAGGATTTTATGCTAGTTTACAGTTATTAGCTACAGAATTCGAGAGAATGTCTGACCGTATGTCACAAGATCAAGCTTATTCTCGTCGAATTTCCAGAGCGATTCATGAAGTCAGTAGTTTCATTAATATGTTTTAAAAATATTTCTTTTTTATTTATATTTCATATCATATTTGAAGCAGTATTCAAATCAAAGCTTATATTCTAAAAATGTATATAGAATAACTTCAGTGTGGAGTTTTAAATATTAAATTTGTTTCTTAGGATTATTGTAGTAACTGGTGTGTGTCTAAAATGTCTCTTTTCATGTCAACATTAACATATCGTATTGCTCTATGAGCCATTTAATTGTTTTATAGAGATTTAAATCTGCTTAGAAACAGGTTTTCATTTTCATTCTTACACTATTAATTACAGTACTTTTCCATTTTGCAAATCATACTTTTTGGTTAACGATTTAGGATGTCTGTGTTATAGACTTTTTTAATACGACCCAGCTAAACTTATTGCTTAGTATTATTGGGTACTACTTCACTTGACAAGTCTCCATATTAGAACTCAGTTGGACAGGAACCTAATTATATTCCAAATAAACAAGGTTGAATGAAAGTAGGAATCACACTAAGAAAAACGCTAGTATGTTTATGATTTTTACTTAAGAAGGTTCTAGAATCTTCTCTGAGAATCCGCTAGCACTGACTCGTTAAGAAATAGCCAGTCAGTGTTTCTGAACACCATCATGCATGGAACATTCTTTAATCAAATTTTTTCCCGCTGAAACTATGTCTAAAACAACCACTTGAATAATTTCAAGTATGTAAATATTATCACACTAAGGGTTATCACTGAACCATTGCCACATGGTTTGTGATGTTGTATCTGAACAAAACTTCATTCCATTAGATTATTATTATTAGCACTCTGTGTGGCCAGTAATCATGTAATTTCTCAAAAACAGTAATCATTCTTTTTCAAAACTTGAATACTTGTATATATATTTTATTTATTGACAAATGAGGTTTAATTTGCATGGAGGATGTTTTATTGGTATCAATATACAATTAGAAAGTGTTCTGTAAATTAACCTCAATGTGGCTTGTTTACAATGCCTGATTACAACGATAATTTTTCGTGTTACTTTGTGCTAAAATACATCTGTTATTGATCAGTTCTGTAGTGAGTGGAAAAGACCAATTTATTGTTTAATACGAAATTATGGGGTGCTTTCACAAAATATTAAAACCGTACACTAAATACATAATTTGCACATCTTCCATCAGTTGTCCGTAATATGCTTCATGATCCTTTCAATTATGTTGTTATTGGAATTACTTTTTGTTTCTCTTTCTGTTCTCTTCAATTGAATATTTTTCTATCTTCTACTGGCATACATTCCACTTTCAATTGTGCTACATGCTACTTACAGTGGACATATATAAGTAGCGAACACTAAAGTACTAATGTTAACTACATTTTTCCCAGAATTTATTGCATCACCTGTGATTGCTTGTAAGATACATATTTTATTTTAGGATTGATGATAAATATTATTCAGCTGTCGTAAATTTATTGTTGATGGATGCTGTCTATGTTCAAATGTATAATTTATCAAAATACTTTGTCTATCAGTGTATAATTGTTGACAAATATTCATCAGTAGTATAACTTACAATCTTTTGACAAACTTTCAAATGGAATTTAGCTGAATAATTTTATAGTGTACTGTTTTGAATATTAATAACAAGCATTTTTTTTATTATTACGTGTTAATTATTCTCAATTTTCCTCCAACTTTTTTCCTATAAAAAAATAATAGATTTCACTGGAGACGAAATCGTTCAGAGAAAGTATTGGATTTAGTCTACCTCAAGATACAGATCAATTTGTTGGGCATAATAATAAATGTACCCTAACAACTGTTGATGATTATTCGAATAAAACAAATCCATTAATTACAACGTCTAATTTAACTGGTAACAATGATAATAATGATACTGTTTTGAATTCATTAAAACGTAAACATTCTTGTGACGATGATGATAGTAACAATATCAGTCAACCAAATACCACTGGGTTAAATTCTTTTGTGAAATCCAATGAGCAAATAGATGAACCAATAATTATAATACTGTATCATTGTCCCCGTCATCTTCATCTTCATCAGTGAATGAATATGAACCGAAAGCGAAGAGAGTATGTGTTAGTTCAGTATCTGGAAATGAAAAATCCAATTCACATATACAACACCCGGCATCGGTTAATACTACTACTAATAGTAATAGTAGTTCGGATGAATTACAAACACCCACACTATTAACTGATAAGGATGGTGCTGGTATTTTCTTACCTACATTGTCTTCACCGTTATCATCGTCTGTAATTAAAACTGACCATCAGGTGAGTGATGCATAGTATCTATGTGTGTATAATTTAGTTAATGTTACGTTTGCTTATGCTAGTGGGAAGAGTATTATAAGGAACCGAGCTGTCATATATTCCATTGCATCATTTTAATATTTATTTGTTTTGGTTATGATAAAGAGTTCAAATATTTATATTATAAAATTATTTGTAACTGAAAATTAACGACTCTGAAAAGCAGGATGAATGAAATTAAGTTATGCAGATGTTTTGATTCTAATATTTTTGGTATAGTAATAATGAGAATAACCACCTTAACTAACGAGTCACAAATCTATGTGGTTAGTGTACTCTAAAAGAGCTTTCACTGTATTTCTGAACATCTTCAAGGCCTAATTCATGTTAGAGCTAGTTTTTCGGTTATTCTGCATATCTTATATCGGTTAATCAAGAAATCTAAAAGCAGTATGTCGTAACCCAATTTTTACTATGCTAATTTAGCATTTTATTGAAGCTATTTTTAGTTAATATACGATTATAAATTGCCTACACAATGTAACCAAATTTTTGGTTGGATTGTAAGTGGATATTTAGCTTTCACTCTGTTTACAAGAGGCCCTTTGGATCTCCTTTAGTTAATAGACGTTCTGATTGGTATTTTTAAATAGTTTCTATCGGACTAATATTTTTAGATTGTGTAAGGTACAGATTAATGAGCTATATACCAAACTTGACCAATATATTATAGTATACTCTAAAATTGTGAAGCAACTTTTAATATTTGGTGTATGTACGAAGTTGATCAAGCTTTATTGAAAATAAAATTTCTTAGGTTATTAGAATTTGTCGGTTAGATTATTACATACCCTTTTTGTCATCTTTCTGTATCTGTATGATAAGTAGAATGTTACAACTTAAACAAATGTATCACTGTGATAGGTTTGTGCAGATTATTGAACTTCCATAGATTACGTCACACATTGTTCGTGGTTAAACTGCCATTAAGAACAACTATTTCTCTCTAGTATGGGACTCCCTAATGGTCTGAGGAATTCCGCACTTGCTCATAAGACTGGAGGTCTTGAATTCGGTCCCTGGTGGAGTCGTAGATGTGCACCAACGACGCGTTCCATACTATGTTGAAACGGCTGTTTATTACTTATCGGTTTTAATAGTTGTCTAAGTAAGACCAATGTGTGATCTAATCTGTGATTATTTCATTTTACATTAATTTTATCACATTTATGTGAAAGTACTACTACACATTTTAATCAGGGAAATAAGTTCACCTCTAAAAGAAATATTTTGATGATAGTCTGTTCACCGTGTCACAAAAAAGATCAAATGGTCTTGATTACTATTATGATTTCATCTATTATTTTGTCACATTGAAATGAATTCATTTCTTACATCTCATAATACAGTTCATAATACGCAGTTGAATTATTTTCATTTGCTTACCACAATACAATATCATCTTATTGTGATGTAGTTGTAATTTTCTATTTATAACTTTCAATATTCATATTCAAAGATAAAAGTATAGTTATGAGTTCTATTTTTTTAAATAAGAAAGATTAGTTCAACGAAGAGTTCTTTTTTCGGCGAATTCATTTTCAAAGCTCTACAATTGCATATATATTTATATACTGATTCTATTTTTTCCCACCAAGTAAACAAATTTCATTATTGACTATATAGTTTATTGTAACTTGTTTTTACGTACATTTTTTTCTACTAGGGGTTAAACGGTTCACCCGGTAAGTCAGAACCAGGTTTTCTTCGTTTTAATAAAAGGAAATTATATTCAACTTTTCATATACACTGCTTATTATACATGTTACTTTATATATATATATATATATATATATATATATATATATATATATATATATATATATATATATATATATACTTCTTTGTTAAGGGAGGTTGCTTCTGACGTAATGTTTTTTAGATCTTAACTTTCTTTAGGTAATAATACGAAGACGTATGACGTGACAGATTTATGATGTCACTAACTACTGAATTGATGCTTTTCATTTTTATGGTAGTAGGAAACCGCTGTAAATTGCTTGTCAGCTGATTTATTTCCATAAGTTTCAATATAATATAAATTCGCTTTTACTCCTTAATTTTTTCTTAATATTAAGATTGCTACTTATTGCTTATTAATTATGCACTGATCTTCATTGGATATATTATTATTTCTCTCGTTATTCTGTGATGTGTAATAGCTTGGTTATATGTTTTATGATTGTTTCAAGTTTCACATCATTCAGTTCATTTCCTTGTTAATGAATTTAACTAATCAATGGTTTTACACTTTCCTATTAAGTATTATCATAGTTTATGCGCTAATTTTTCTCCTCAAACATTTTGGTATTATGATTATTAAGTAGTATTCAGTTTATAGGTCATAATTCTCCCCTATCACTTTATTTATTCAATGTTGAAAATGGCCCATTGAACTGAGGACACAAAATCTAAACAGGAGAAGTGTAACATATAAATAAAGATGACAATAATTAAACAGAAAACAATTAAATATCTAGCAGTGAATTATTAAGAAACTATACACTAATAAAAGATAGGTTTTATCATCGTTTAACAGTTAGAAAATATTTATTGAAGCTTAAATTAAGTTCAATAACTGAAATTTTTCTGTTAATATAATTTCTTATGTTAAAATCTAATGGATCTTAGTGAATCAGTGAATTGCTAGATGATTTGCACTATAAATTGATTGTTTGTTTGTTGAATGACTTTCTCGAAATTAGATTATCTGTACTTTGAATATAACCTATATGATTTTAGAGATAGGACACTCGAGTTTTGCAATGAATGTTTTAAATTTTCGCATAGGTAAACTCAAAATATATAAATAATTCTGACTTGATCCAGATAAAAATATACAAATATGTAATCCACTCACCCATACTAAGCTAACTGACACTTGCATTTCTCATTATGTGTCCTTTCAACGATATTTAATCAGCCTTTTATCAGCATATCATCTCTGTATATTCAACACATCGATAAGATTATCTTCAAATGCTTGAATTCCCTTAGCCCCTTTCTTCAATCATCTTAGTATATGATAATCGATATTATTTATGTAATCCATTTAACTTATAAATTTTCTTCTGATCTGAATTTTTACTTAATTTCCATCTATTTATTTAATTAAATATATGTCCATTTATATCAGATAAAAAGTATGGTAAGTTGAATTTGATTAGTTCTTTGCTATAATTTCTTTGTCCGAAAATTCCCAATTAATTTTTGTGCTACTTCGTTCATCAAGTATTATTGTGAACGGATTACAATTGTATTAATTTATTTGCTTATTATTACCGAAACTTTCACAGAACATTTATATAATGCTCTGTATATATACAATAGATCTCCGGGCTACATGCAATTTGCACTGTTTTCTTTTTAATAACCAAGACACAAATATGTGTATGATAAAACATTTTGTTCAACCATCTAGTTTGACGTTTACTTGAGTGTCTTTTTCTCACAAATTGATAACTGAATTGTATGGTTTTGTTTTCCTCACCCCCCTTCAAAGTTATAATTTGGTGGTATTGAAATGCTTTGCTTTATTTAATTGTTAAACATATCAGAATCCTGTTGTGTTTGTTTTTATTTTTTTTAAAAAAACGTATTTTTTACAAGGGAAAAATATTTCAGTTAGCTCATTTCCGCTGCTACACAAGTGTTAACATTTTAGTAAAGTAAATAAATTTATTTATATAAATTGCCAGTCACAGATCGATTTCGTAAGGTTAATGGACACAAGTTAATGAAGCAAGGTTGACAGGATATTGTGTTATATATAAAGAATAGATCAATCTATGAAATTCAACATGCTATACATAAAACACTTTTATTATTTTATCAAATAACTTTCTGGAGAAAGATGATACAGAGACTAATGTAATTGTTAACAATTTATGATTCTTATACTGTAAAATATTTCAGTGGTGCATAAATACTTTCGAACAGTTTATCAATAGTAACGAAATGTTCTAAAGACTGCATCTCCTTACTCTGCTCCACTGCCTTGTGGATCAGACCATTAGGTCGAAGGCTCCGGGTGTGACTGACCCCCTTAGAAAACCACCTGTTTCGGTTTGGGCACCCGGATAGTATCCCATCCCTCACGCGAATCGAATGATTTGTGTGACGCATATGTATATGGTGCCTCCTTGGATTATATTCGTAAGTGCTTTAATATGCTATTACCTTCATTATCTCTTTTAACTATTTTCCATAACTTAGACATCCTAGTTGTATAAGTAAAAGTGTAATAATAATTTGATTTAATATAAAATTAGTTTTGTTCTGTGAAACTGTGAAACATTTTTCTAACTCATGGGGAAATTGACTAGTTCATAAAATTGAAATTTCACAGATAAGTTCTTCATTATTTATGCTTAAATAATAATAAAATTTCATGTAGGACTGTATAATTAATTATAATCATTAACATTTCATCAATAATTTTCTGTAATGCTGATATTCTGTTAATAAATAATTTGGCCTTAATATATAAAATATCACAATAAATTAGACTTTAATGACATAATAGTAATGTCTTAATTTTATAATTAATCCATAATGATTTCAAAAGTCTGTTTGAGGTAAACCTTATCCAAACCTGCATACCAAAATAGTACTGTTTTCAGGAAATCTCATCTCTATTTGAGAATATTATTTAGTAACATAACTACTGGACTGATAGAGTAGTTAAAAATTAGGCCTCATAGCCAGATCCTCATTTATTGGAAAATGAGTGGCCTACGAGCCAATTTCCTCCGATTGCCTGTGACATTTCATTGTGTTTATTTGGCCTTCATATTATGTTTATAAGTATTTTATTTTATCATTTAAAAAACCTATTCATCTGTCCAGTGGTCTTGTCTTTAATTTCTGATCATTTGGAAGTTTCAGTCGATTAACAATACCGGCGGTCTGTTTGAATATCTGGGGTACCTGTCCGTGCCATTTAGATATTTCAACAGGCTATCTGTTATTGTTTGTTTTGACACATCATTATGTCTGTTAATCGCATAACCTATTCAAGGACATTTGTAAAACTTTTGCGTCTCAAGTTACCAAAAAGTACAGTCGGCAACATCGTGGTGGCTGGCAATTTTCATTGATAAGAATGAACATTATTCAGATGTCGATTCCTGAACTGCTAATATCTAACTGGTGATCACTGAATATTTATCATCAGGATCGATCAAGAAATAAGAAAAGGAAAGTTGTTAAAATACTTTGTTCTTAAGACTTTATTTTGTACAAAAAATATGATTTTGAGTATAGTCATTAATAATACTCATTAATTTCATTTCAAATTATTAAAAGCCTCCTCCATAAAATGGCGTTTTAACACTTATGTAGTATTGTAGTCAAAATAATGATTTAGGACATCGACATCTTTAGACACTTGGAAACTAAACTCCAGATATTAAAAAAACAAAGAATTATTGTCTATTGGATTCTATTTTTTACTTTCCGTTCAGTCTAACTTTACCTCCAGATGATTTATTTGATCATTACATCCAGTAGATAATTCTATGCTCTTAGCCTTTGTAACTGCATGTATATTATACCGTAGATTTAGTTAAGTGTTTATAAAGTATATGCATTAGCTATGATAACTTCGTCAATTGTTTTCATCTGTAAGTTTACTGTCAATTAAAAATTCATGTTTCACTATTTTTCCCTTGTTTATACATATTTCTCTCTCTCTCTCTCTTACACACATACTTTAATTCACTAGAATTATTTAAATTTTCAAAGTAATAAGAAAACAGGTTAAATATTTATCTGAAGTTTTTCTTCACTCGTCTGTATTCGTATTTACAATTTCGGCTTCAATCGTCAATCAGACGTTAAATGTATTCATTACTGTAGATCTAATTCAATTATTTATTTGTTCGTTTGTTTGCCTATTTTATAGAGAAATTGTTTTTACAAACAAATATAGTGTATAATCCAGAATCTGATCCATTAGAACAATTTCCTACAGATCAATTAAATCGATTAAATCCAAAAATTCTCATTGAAATAACTAAATTACAAGCATTAAATATTCAAGTTGAAGGCAATTCACATCCCCCATGTATTGATGATATGGAAAGTTACGCTACATGTTTAGATGCTGGTGAATGGAATACAAGTTGTCATTTAAAATTAACTTATTTAGATAAGGTAATTTTTGTGTTGAGAAATTTTCAATGAGATTTCGTTTGTTTGTTTTTCATTTCAGAAATGTGTTCATTTTATAAGTGATTTTATCTCTTTAAGATTTTCGAATAGTTTTGTTATGATAGAGGAATATTGTATATATATGATTATGTTTGAATAGTTGGCCAAAATATTTTAAAGTATATTTAAATGGACAGTACTTATTAAAATTGAATTAATAAGTGAATGGTTCAAAGCTCCTGAATGAGTGAATATTAAATGAAACAATAATCGGTCAGGAAAAAACATCTCTTTTCAGTAGTTTGACATACATCTGTTTATAGAGTTTTGAAGAAACTGTAAGTGATTTATTCTTAGCCTTTTCTGTCTATATCACGTAGTTCGTTTGATTCACTATTCTACTTTTGACTGTTTTGTTTTACTAAAATAGAGCTTCAGTTGAATAATCGGAGACTAATTGATATGTAACTCTGAATTTTACTGTGTCATTATTCGAAAAGAGTTCTTAAAGTAACTGTCACAGGTTTTTAAAACCCTTATCATTTCTGTAAGCTGACCAACAAACTTGAATTTTCACTTTCCATTTTAATTAGACTTTGGGTTGGTTCGTAAAAAGACTAAACATAACTTCTTGACTTCTATACAATGAATGAAATATATCAGGAGGGGTTTTGTGGACATTGTAGTAATTTTAAAATTACTACAATCTCCACAAAGCCTCTTCTGATACTAATCAACATATGCTCACTAGTGACTGGCTTCAAGAGGCATTTCCTGGAGTTCTAATGAGAAGCAGTAATTAGTGCAGTTCAACCGGGTCTGTTGTGTCGTTCAATTTCGTGGATTAGTTTAGGTTAGGCAATAATACCGATGGACGCCAGCTGAGTGGTCTAGAGGTTAGGCGTTCGCGAGGTGGGATCGTGGATGCACACTGCTGAGGAGTCCCACAATAGGACGAAACGGCCATTCAGTGCTTCCAGGTTTTAGATAGTGGTCTAGCTTCAATAGACTCACGATATCAACTATTAAAATAAAATATATCACAAAACCTAGTTCATTAGAAACTCAGGCTTGTCTGTCTACTGAAGGCAAATTAATGTCATAGTTTATATCACGGACTAATCATAGCTAAAAAAAAACACTGAAAACCATGAAGCACTAAGCAGCTTTTGCGTCTTAGTATTTGTTCAATAGTGACTGATTTTAAGAAGAAATATCCAAAGCTGTAGCGAGAAGCCGTGGCCAACGGAGTCCAACTAGACCAATAGCAAGACTGTCACCTAGCAACGCAATAGTTGTTATTCCATGATGTGAACTATGAAATTTAATAATCTCTGACAACCCACTATTTAGTAAGTATACATGACTTTAAAACAGTAATGATAATATTTTATTTTCATATACAATTAAAAGTATTGTCAAGTATATTATTTATTGCTTTTTTATTACCAACCACAATTTTATCCAGGCACGTTATTTACCATGCGAATTGCCAGAGTTCTATATTCGATTAACTCCAGACTATTTACAAACTGGTCAATTAAATTGGTATTACTTACCAAAATTGAAATTTCTATCTTCATTAAACAATCCAAATAAAGATAATGTAAATCATTTGGAGAATTCTGAACGATATTTAAATTTATATTATGACGAATTAAATAAACAATTTGATCGAATGAAACAATTAACAGATCATCGAAAGAGTTTAGTAAAAATTGGTAAAACGTGGGTAAGTGTAAATTTGTTTGTTTTTGTTTTGTTTCGGCCTACTACAGTGGGTGGTGGTGTTAGATTATTAGTTATGTAACTATTTCTTTTCACAGTTAATAGTTGTTTGATTTTCATGCTGGTTCATTGTCGGTAGTAATGAACACCGCGAAGGTTGATAATCCTAACAGAAGTCAAACAGACTCACCGGAATAACGTACCCGGCATTGAATAAAGTTAAAAGACTTAAGTTCTTGGAATACTTATTTATAAATACTTATAAATAGTAATTGGTTTCATGATAATAATTAGCTCTCATTCGAGTTAAACAACTGAACCATCACAGTCGGTTCTCAACACAAACAAGCAGAGCAGTGACCAATTCAATGTGATCTGACTGGTAAAAAACCAACAATAGGTTCATATGTCTTTTGTTCCTTCAGGATTCTGGAGCCCATGTGCACCATTGGTTCGGGATCAGGGTTTTCTAACTCCCCTAAGTGGATCCTCCATATCCATCAACCCAGTTTAAGCGCCGAACATTCACTTTTCGTCCTCTCAATTTTTTAAACAACACCCTTCTGCGAGAAGGCAGTGGGTAGGACTACACTGTCAGTGGTTGTATGAGCGCGGTCTTGTGAGAGTATTGGGAGAGGGAGAGCGGACTCTCCCCACCCTCAACCGTACCACGGCATTTGTGTATATTTTTTACGTTAGACATAAAAGTATCTGTCAGTCAAAGTAGTGCTATCTAAAATCAAGACTAACTCTTGTTAATGCCATTAAAAAATACATCGTTTCCTAAAAATTAAACTCTAATCGACCAAAAATGGATTTTTTGGATTTTCAAATTACGTGCTTATAGTTGAATTCAACTCGGAGAAACCTACATACCTGATTGCTAATTCCAAAAGACATCCTGAATAATTTTATAAGTACCAATGTATTTTTCTTAGTTTCAAAATCTGTTGGAGTGACAATAACATTGATGCTTTCGTGTTTTCAGTAGTTAGAGGTTGAGTTAAGAATTATTTAGGTGGGACTCGTTGAAGGTTGTGCTGTGCTGCATTCACTAATGAATTCTGTTATCCTAAATTACATAGCTAGCTAGAGTCGAATCATAATCAATACTAATTTTTTTCGTTAAAACATGATTAATATTTAAGAAATCGTATGGAACTTAATCTCTAGTTGGTAAGGCTTGTCGATTGAACGCTAAATTCGTTTCCTAAGCTATTCTGGTAACCCGCAAGCTAGAACTACACAGCGACCTGAACACCAGAGAGAAGACGTAAAGTATGAGAGAAATACTTTACTCCAAGGTTCATCTTTGTACAGAAAACATGGGTATTTATAGATGTTAGCGTTTGTTAAGTCAACATCATATTTCGGCCAATCCGTTAGCGACATATTATGCTACTGACCAATAGTAGCATGCCACGTTGGAATTCTAGAATGCTCCATCGTGCTCTGATTGGCTAGGACTCTTCGGCTCCCTTTGGGCCTCTGGAGGCTCCGCTGAAGTTCTCCGAAAGTCGACTCAACACTAGTCAGTTAGATTCTATTATAACCATATTGCTTGGATTTAAATTCCATTTTAAACCACATCTCAACTACTTAATTTAATGAGGAGAGAAGGACAAATTTCCAACATCTTTTTGAATAAAAATTTTAAATCGTTTTATAAATATTTCGACTACTAAGACAATTGATTATTTATTGGCATGTTACATAGCTTCATTAAAATCATTATATGGTAATATACGTATCTGTTTATATAATTGTTCAATTATAAATGTTGACAATTTATCAGTGTAAATATTAAATTTTTTCTAATATTACTTTTTGTCTGATTCTTTCTTTTAAGACCAGTGTCATCTGTGCATCAATGGCTCGTTTTTATAAATTTGATCATAATTTGTTAATAATTACAACTATCAAGTCAACTCAACAAAATAGTCAATTAGTTTATTAAATAAAATGTGATATCTATATATACGTTCAATATGTTTTGAAAATAATAAACATGAGTATAAAAATATATCTTTGTTTATTTTAATGATAAAATGTTATATTAATTTAATACTTGACTTATTATTTTAGTGTTTCATGCCTATTACTTACTTACGCCTTTTACTTCCAATGGAGCATAGGCCGCCGACCAGCACTTTCCATCCCACTCTGTCCTGGGCCTTCCTTTCTAGTTCCATCCAATTCTTGTTCATTCTTCTTATGTCTGTCTCCATTTTTCGGCGTAATGTGTTCTTTGGTCTTCCTCTTCTCCTTTGGCCTTGAGGATTCCATGTGAGGACTTGCCTTGTGATACAGTTGGGTGCCTTCCTCAATGTATGTCCTATCCACTTCCAGCTCTTCTTTCTCCTGATTCCTTCCTCTGCTGGGATCTGGTTTGTTCTCTCCCACAGTAGGTTGTTGCTAATAGTGTCCGACCAACGAATCCCAAATATTTTGCGTAGACAACTGTTAATAAATACTTTCATGCCTATTGCTAATGAAATATCAATAATGATTGATGTGTATCGAGAAAAATTCTTTATATCTTTTATATACGAATTTAGTGTTTTTATTCACTAGTTAGTAGAATATGTAATTGGTTAATTTGGTTTGAATCACTATTTTAGCGAGGATACAAACATGTTACTTGTGTCGTTTCATAGGGTGTACTTGAAAGTTTATTAATATATCTTGAAGGTCGTATATACAAATATCTCAGGCAGAGCAAGGGCATACAACCATTTCTCGACATTGTTTCATTCAAGCAGTAAAATTTGTCAGGGTTACCCAATTTCACCATTTCTCTCCAACTTTGCCATCAACGATGCTTGGAAAACAGCTCTGGTGGATGTAGGTAATGAGGGCGTTGATCTGTTACGTGGAGAAAGACTTTCCAACCTTCAGTCTGCGCATGATATTGTCTTACTGTGCAATGATACCCAAGCAATCTACACTTAATCAGTTGACAATCATTGTCCGTAGGAATGGCACATGTTTTGCATCTTTTAATTGCAGAGTTTTTTTACAAGACCGATAGGTCCCTAAACCTGCACTCACACTTGGTAGCGAGCAGTTAGAAGTAGTCGAGAAGTTTGTGTAGCCGTGTAAATTCACACATAGTGAAAGACAAAACAGATTATATCAATCTAGGCCGTCTTTGGCATCTCCATGATGTTAGTTTGGCTGTGGAAGGTCAGGTCTACCACGCGACTTTGAGAGCAGTTTCGCTCTATGCTTGTGAAACAAGCCAGTTAATCAGGTTACATTCTTTAACTGGAAGTGTTCACCTACGGGTAGCGTGAAGCGTCGATGAGAGTTTGAGAATAGTGACAAAGAAATATCACATTTCATTTCTCATGGAATAAAATTTGTTTTATAGTTTTTGATTAGCTAGTCGTTGCTCACTTCTATAGTGAGACATTATTAATGTATGTATAATAAATGACTAGTACTTTTTAGAATTTAATTGATTCGTCTTGCAAGGTCAATTTTTACTCAGGGTTGGTTAGTTATTATCTGACAGCACTATTTTATTATCATACTCCATCATATCAAATGAAGTATCCCGTTTTTGCAACTAACGTTTTTCACCCTCATGAATCAACTTTTAAAAATATTGTCCTAACATGTATCTGGGACTTTATGTATCGTTCTAATTAAGAAGACTACTTCTTTGCAAAAATAGGTTATAATAATAGGGGGTTTGTTCCATTGATAATAGTCAACTATTGGCGTTAAAGACTTAAGCATTCCAAGCTAGACGGAAAGCATTGGTCACTATTTGCTTTCTGGACAGATCATTTTATTCAAATGGGTGGTATACTCTAAAAGCATAGTGTGGTCTTTGGTGCTTATACGGACAGATATGAATAGTATGTATCAGGCGTGGGAAGTAGAACTCTTACTTACATAATGGGAAAATGAAGAGAAAACTGAAGGAATGAAGGAGCGATGGAGTTTGTAAGGGACATTTCAAAGATGTACAAACGATGTATTTGATGTACAATCTTATTTTACTAAGTCACTGTGTGATTTTGCATTAAATAATAAATTGGTTTTCCCCACTTGAGTTCTCGTTCACTACAATGCTATTTAGGACGTTTGCAGACATACAGTACTTTTATAGTGGAAGATTTCGATAAGCAGAGAAATGTTTCCATGTGGATCGATTCTTTGTATTGCTCACTTTTGTAAGGATGAAAAGACTATAGGGTCGAGTTAGTGTTTCAGATATTACCTACCAACAACAAATCAGAGATGGTGACCGAAGTGAATCAGTAACATTTAAGGAAAATTGTGACGTGAGAAAAGAAAATGTGGGAAAAGTCAGAACATGCCGATTAGTGGTTAGGTTTACGCATTTTTAATCAATTTTTCCAAATAGTTGTGTTATGCAGTCATTTCTAATCTATCTTTTGGCTTATTACGTGTGTTAAATTAGTGTCTTGAGTGCTGTTAGAGGTATGAGGGCGGTTATCACTTCGCGGTTGCCCACACCGTGGAAGGGTTCTTCTAGAGGTGCCTGAAAAGGAAATTGGATTAGAGGTGGTCTTAGTGACCTGAGAGCGTGACCGCAGTGCCCAAGGGACAACTGTTTGAGGTCGGTCACACACGACGTTTTTATGGGTAATTTTTGTGTTAGCTCCGTACTTGTTGAGACCTTACCGCCGGAGACGGATATCCGTGGGATAAGGCGAGGTGTGCATTTCTAGGGTTGACCTTTTCTAACCCCACCCCTCCTTGTGGGAAGGCAGCATCGCTGTCATGCTGGTTGTCTGAAGGAAACACCTTACTGCTGTCACACCTCTGTACAGTCAGCAGTACGACTTCGCCTTCGGACCTTGGGTTTGTTGCTTTTAGTCTTACCGCTCTTCAACCGACCTGTCTGAAATGGTAGGACCTTGGGGAACGGTTGTTCCAGCCAGTATAGCTCGGTTGCTCCATCACGATAGGCAAGCCCGACCACCACGTCAAGGTAGCAACAACGGTTTAAGGTACTGAACAGAGAAATATTCCTTTCTAATTAGTTTCTTGTCATTTATGTACACGTATACAGGTTTCACATAATACCGGATAAGCGATGGTCAATTAACTCAACAACGTATCACTATATTTCCCCTGATGTTTTGCATTAGGTTAGTAATTGAATGAATACTAGATTAAAATGAAGGCGAAATTACGTAAGAATTAAAGTATAAATTGAGTAAGTTTGAGATACAGCAAATAAATATAAACGCTTAGTGTTACTTGTAAAATTAATAATAGTTAATTATAAAAGATTCAAATAAAATTAGACAATCAGATTATTAAGATAATTTATGTAAGAATATAATTAAGAACCAAAATTGAAAAATTTCCAAGGAACCTTACAGTAACTGTAAAAGCTAAGTTTGTATCGACATGGTGACCAATGTCAACCAAATACGTCAAAATAGGGCTTGTTACTCGACACTGGATATTTGACCAGTCATAAATTACAGTCAGGCAATCATTCAAATCCTAAACAGGCTTGTGTCTAAAATATCTTCGTAGTATACCTATTGTGTTTCATAAATCGTATAGCTCGGTCTCCTATAAACACGTGACTTATGTTTGAACGATGAACAGTACCAATCATTTATTCTTCTGATGTTTGATTAGAAGTTTAGTGAAGTGGGACTTTTTATGGTCCGTTGGTAGCGTGGTCGTGAACCTAGTGGTGCATAGGCTTGGAACTGATAAGTCTGTAAAGTTAATTCCTGATTGGTAAATGAGTGTATTCAGACTGGCCTGCTATCTGACACTTCCTATTGTGTTATTTATTACATCTGCCCCTATACACTTTATCATAATGTACTCCTTTCTTAGTAATTGTCCATTCATTAGCTGTCCGTTGGATAACTGAGTGCGAGTGTGGCTTGGATTAATCAAAACAAACGTTTAACTAAGATAAAGAGAACACATTAAACTGTAATAAATCTACTCTATACTCGAAAACCTTTCCAATTTAGTTTGACACCTTGATTAGTCTGTATCGTAAACTAATGATTTTTACTAGTTTTGCTTCAAAACATTCCGTCATTATTAGTTCATTTCCTCCACTCATCAGTGTAAATCAGAATTATCTTCCTCACAATTAAAAAATAAAGATCGATGAATGGTTAGGTCGATCAACCTATTTTTTATTAAGTACAATATGTAGCATATGAGAGTATAATTTTCACTAGGGATTTCAATTCAGTCGTCCAAAACTATCTCCTTATATGTTTTCTATGAACATGAAACCGTAGCGCATCCCAACTTTCAGGATGAAAAAGCAATTACTTTGAAATTTTAAGATTGGAATGAAATCCTCAGTAAAAATTATCTACTTATAAACAAACAGAATATTGCCCGGAATCGCTTGGTACCACATATACATTAAGTACTAAAAAACGAATCCTCCACAAATTCATGGAGATGTATTTTGTCTTTAGATAAATTAAATTAAAATTGATATTGTATGATTTCCAGAGTCAATGCCAAACAAATTAATTCAGTTTGAAATAGATTGGATTATCCGTTGATATTTTTGACTGAAATTTGATCAGTATATTTTGGGATATGTACATCATGCGCTCATTGTATCAATATACGCATCGCAACACAATTTAATATGGAATAGATGGAATTTATCTAGCAATTCAATCTAGGAAGTGCGTTTTGTCCTATTTAGGACTCGTCAGTTGGATTGACACGAATCCCAAGACTGATCAAATTTGGTTAAAATAATAAGAACGGAATGATCCAGTCAATTTCAAATTGAATTAAAACCCATACTCGTTGCATAAGTGAGTAGCCGTTCAGACTTAGTAGCTAAGTAAATAAAGCTATGGTGTTTGAAGCGAACAGTATTGAGTCCGAGTCCCAGAGTGGAAATCAACTCTAGAATGCAGGTACCTACACCCAATGAATCTCAAATAGGACGAAATACTAGTACGATTC